CAATATAAAAGATTATTAATAGTATATTTGACATTCTTTTTTTCATAGAAGTCCTCAAAATCCAATCAGAGATAGCACAGCTTGACTCATATACAATATAGCGGTTAAAATGAAATGCAAGCCTACCAAAACAATAAAGTTTATTTCTTAGAAAACATTTTATACCATTTCAGTTTTAAAACTAGAATTTACTTAAATTAACTACAACTTAAAGTTCAGTTCCTCAGTCACACTAGTCATATTTCAATTTCTCAGTAACCACATGTGACTAGTGGTTACCCCTTGAGATGGAACATTCTCATCACCGCAGAAAGTTCTGTTGATAATGCCAAACAGGTTTAATTTTTTTCTTTTTCTTTTCTTTCTTTCTTTTTTTTTTTTTTTTACAGACAGTGTCTCATTCTGTTGCCCAGGCTGGAGTTCAGTGGGGCATTCATAGCCCACCCCAGCATCCAGCTTCTGGGCTCAAATGATCCTCCCACCTCAACTTCCCATGTAGCTGGGACTATAGCTACATGTCCCCATGCCCAACTAATTTTTAATTTTTTTTTGAAGGGAAAGGATCTTACTGTGTTGTCCAGGCTGGTCTTGAGCTCCTGGCCTCAAGTGGTCCTCCTGCCTTGGCCTCCCAGAGTACTGGTATTACAGTCGTGAGCCACCGCACCTGACCTAGGTTCCATTTTTTATGTCATAGTATATCATAAGTGTTTCTGTGTATTTTCTGTTGCATTGTGTCATGCCCAATTGTTCTATTTTTTATTTATAAGATTATACTTTTTTATTTATAAGATTATTGAGTGGGTCTAGGTGTGCTTCTGAACAGTTTTTAAGAAAAGAGAAAATAATATTTTGATGCTCTTTATTTAGGATGGACTAGGTGGCAGGGAGTGAGTCCCAAAGCTGGGACAGAGCCATTCTGGCCATATTAAGAGTCATCTGAGCCAGTCTGGCCTTATAAGGGTCATTAGTATGGTACAGTGATTGAGAGTCATTCTGCTTGGGTTTGAATTCTGACTCTACTACTTACTAGCTACGTGACTGTGGATAAGTTGCTTAACCTCTCTGAGCCTCTATTTCTTCCACTGTGAAATAAAAAATATATAGTCCTTAGCTCCTAAGGTATTGTGATAATTAAATGAGATAACGTGCCTAAAGCATGTAACAGAGAATCAGTGTTCAATGAATATTAATTACTATTATATTGTTGTTATTGTAAAAATACAGGCTCCAAGGACTTACTGCAGGAGAACCTAATTTGTTAAGGTCTGTGGTGGGACCTATGAATCTGCATTTTTAAAAAATTTTTTTTGCGTTGGAGTCTCACTCTATCACCAGGTTGGAGTGTAGTGGCATGCTCCTGGCCACCGCAGCCTCGACCTGATGGGCTCTGGCTATCCTTCCGCCTCAGCCTTCCAAGTAGCTGGAACTACAGGCACATGCTACCTTGCCCAGCTAATTTTTTATTTATTGTAGAGATGAGGTCTCGCCAAGTTGCCCAGGAGGGTCTCAAACCTGTGGGCTCAGGCAGTCCACTCGCCTCGGCCTCCCAAAGTGCTGGGATTACAGGCTGAGCCACCAAGCCTGGCCAGGAATCTGCATTTTAAACACGTTCTCCAGGTGATCCCAAGGTCCTGGATCCCTTGGCTCAGATCAATTTCCTGAGATCTTTTCCTGTGTGACCCTTGGCAGTGTCCCTGCCCCAGAGAAGCACATACTGGCTGGAGATCTCAGCATCTGTCAGAGGATAAACAGGCCCAGTAGAGTTGCCAGATTTAACAAGTAGATAACTATTTTATCTGGCAACCCTACATCCCAGGAGATTCTTTTTGCCCAGTAGGTCTTCATTCAACCTGTGGGTCTTGTATCCTATGGTTGTCACCCCATGGTCACATCAACTGTAGGGTGCAGGAGTGTAAAGTGTGAAAAAAGTAGTATTAAAAGTCAAAAGTAAGCCGGGCTCGGTGGCTCAGTCTGTAATCCCAGCGCTTTGGTCAAAAAATCAGCCGGGCGTGGTAGCACATGCCTGTAATTCCGGCTACTTGGAAGGCTGAGACGGAAGGATCGCCGGAGCCCAGCAGGTTGAGGCTGCAGTGGCCGGGAGCGGCCATTGCACTCCAGTCTGGGCGACAGAGTGAGACTCCAACTCAAAAAAAAAAAAAAAAAGAAAGAAAGAAAAGGGATGTTAGGGGCCATCTTGCCCAGTCTGCTCATTTTGCAGGTGAGGAAACCAAGGCCTCCTTGGGGAAAGGAAATGAGTTGTCCAAGGTCAATGACTAGGCCAGAATGGAATCCAGGCCTCTGTTTTCTGACCCAGTGTTTGTTCCTCTTTGGCATCTTAGTTCATTCTGACAATAGCATTCTATCCCTTCTTCCTCCTTCCCCCAAAGTTCATGTCCTTCTCGAATGTGATACATTAATGCCATCCCAATAGCGCCAAAAGTCTTCACTCATTCCAGCATCAGTTCCAAAGTTTATTATGTTATGTTATGTTATGTTGTGTTATGTTATGTTATGTTATTTTAGAGTCAAAGTCTCACTGTCACCCAGGCTGAAGTGCAGTGGCAGGCTCACAGCTACTGCAGCCTCAACCTGCTGGGCTCAGGCTATCCTTCCACCTCAGCTTTCCAAGTAACTGGAACTATAGGCATGTGCCACCATGCTGCACTAATTTTTTTTTTTAATCTATTATAGAGATGCGATCTTGCCATGTTGCCCATGCTGGTCTCAAGTCCCTGAGCTCAGGCAATCCTCTTGCCTCAGACTCCCTAAGTACTGGGATTATGGGCATGAGCCACCACACCCAGCGTAGCTCCAAAGATTAAAGTCCAAAGTCTTATCTAAATATCCATATGAGATGTGGGTGAGGCTCAAAGTATGATTCTTTCTGAGGCAAATTGCTCTTCAGCTGTGAACCTGTGACATCAAGCGTGTTGTGTGCTTCCAAAATGCAATGGTGGAACAGGCACAGTGTAGACATTCCCACTCCAAAAGAGAGAAATGGGAAAGAAGAAAGGAATGACAGATTCTAAGCTAGTCCAAAACCTGAGACTAAGCTTTGGCTCCATGCTCTGCCCTCCAGGTTTATTGGGGTGAAGCCCCATGACTTTGCTGGGCATATGTGTGCCATGCCACAGCTTTCATGGTCTGCGTATGGCTCTCCTGTAATTGTACCCCAGTGACTCAACTGATGTGGAGTCTCAGGAAAGCCCTACCCCCACTGCTGTGCTTGGCATTGTTCTAGTGGGTGCTATCTACGTTGGCCCTGCACCAAAGCAGATCTCTGCCCAGGGATCCCCCAGCTCTTCAGTACAACCTTTGGAACCCAGGTGGAGGCAGCCACACACCCACCAGGTTTAGTACACATCATTTCGCACTGTTGCCTTCTGGGAACTGCACCTGGTATGACATGGCTGAGGAGTGTGGCAGCAGAGTTTGGGGAGCAAAGCCCACAATGTGAGGCAGCACTGGGCAGTGGAGGCCTCTCCTTCGGTATCATTCTGTCCCCTAGGCCCTGGCACTATGGGCCTGCGATGGGAGGGGAACCCCCTGCATTCCCCTGGTCTCTGAAATGATTTCACAATTATTCCTTTATTGTCTTGGACAATAATTCTTGGCTTCAGCTTAGATGGCTGACTAATCTCCCTATTGTCTTGATGAGTCACACCTGGCTTCCCTTGAGATGGATGATTCTTATTAATCTCCTTATCAAAGGGTGCTTGGCCATACCACTGGCCTCTCTAGACAGATTTTTTTTTTCATTCTTGCCTATATGAACAGACTGAAAAATTTTCAAACTTTTGTTTTTCTTCCTTTTCAGTTAACAATCCCATCATTTAAAAAATCATTTCTCTCTTTTCACAGTTTACTGTAAGCAGTCAAGGGATACCAGGCCACAACCTCAACAGTTTGCTTAAAAATTTCCTCAACCAAGTATCCAATTTTATCACTCACAAATTCTGCCCTCTGCAAAGCACTAGGACACAAATGCAATTCAGCCATGTTGTCTGCTCCTTCATGACAAGAATGATTTTTTCTCCAATGACTAATAACAGGTTCCTCATTTCCATATGAGACCTCATCATAATGACCCTTACTGTCCCTGTTTCTACTAATATTCTCTTCACAACCACTCAGCATTCTGTAAGAAGATTGAGAATCTCCTCCTCTCCTTCTGAGCCCTCCTCAGAATCACCCTTTATTATCCATTCATGAAAATATAGACTTTTTCTAGCCTGCACCTCAAAACTCTTCCAGCTTCCACTTGTTAGCCAGTTCCAAATCTGCTTACACATTTTTAGGTATTTGTCATGATTGCACCCCACTCTTGGTACCAATTTCCTCTCTTAATCCATTTAGGCTGGCATATAACAAAATATCATAAACTGGGTGGCTAAGAAATGGCAGAAATGTATTTCTCATGGTTTTGGAGACTAGGAAGTCCAAGATCAAGGCACTGGCAGATTCATTGTCAATAAGGACTCATGTCCTCATCAATGGCTTTCTTCTCACTGTAACTTCACGTGGTAGAAGGGATGAATGAGCCCTCTTGGGTTTCTTTTATAAGGGCACTAATCCTAATCTCACTTCTAAAGACTGTATCTTCATGATCTAATCCCTTCCCAATGTGGGTTAGGATCTCAAAATAAGAGTTTTGGAGGAACACAAACATCTCACAGTCTTATTTCTGTCCTCTGTCACCTCAGTTGTAGAGATGGAAGAGGTTCATATATATCCAGGGTAACCAGGGACCTGGACCTAGATTGTGAGCAGAGGCCCCTCTGGCAATACTTTCATGGTGATTCCTGCCCACGTGATCCCAAAGAAAGAACACAGTAAACAGAAGTAAAGTCAGTCCTTGGTACTACTTATAGAAAGCCCCAGACATGGGCAAGGGGGATTTTGCCATACAGGGGGGTCAGGTTCAGAGGTTGTACCCATCAGCCTGGCCTCGTGACATGCAGAGCTAACTGGGCTTAGACCCTTCCACTGGTATCTTACAGAGTGTCTGGAGGAGAGCTCTTCGATTTCCTGGCACAGAAGGAGTCACTGAGTGAGGAGGAGGCCACCAGCTTCATTAAGCAGATCCTGGATGGAGTGAACTACCTTCATACGAAGAAAATTGCTCACTTTGATCTCAAGGTCAGTAAGGGGAAAAAGGGGAAAGAACGAGAGTTTAGAAAGAAGGGACCCAGTCTCTCCCAGTATCATGGCCAGGAGGGGCACACTGCCCACTTGGCCCTCCTCCCTCATCTTAAAGCTGAAAACCAAGCTCCTGAGGAAGAAATGATGCCACTGAAAGTGTCCACCTCCTTAGTTTCATTTTCACAATCAGGTTTTCTGCACATAGGGACTAACTGCAAGAAACTTTTTAATCAGACTACAGGTATCTTAGCTCTTTCAGGGAACTAGTGGGGCATATTTTTTTTGTGTTGTAGTCTTACTTTGTCACCCAGGCTGGAGTGCAGTGGCATACTCACAGCCACAGCAACCTCGATCTGCTGGGCTCAGGTGATCCTTCCACCTCATCCTTCCAAATAGGTAGAACTACAGGTGTGCACCATCATGCTTCGCTAATTTTTCTTGATTTATTGTAGAGATGAGGTCTCACAAAGTTGCTCAGGCTGGTTTTGAACCCTGGGCTCAGGCAGTCCTCTCACCTTGGCCTCCCAAAATGTTAGGATTATAGGCATGAGCCACCACACTTGGCCTATAATTTTTCAATAAGTAGACCAGTGACAGAAAACTTGACACCACTTTCATTTCACAAGACTGAACTTTTTAATAACAAAGAGCTAAGTTCTGAGTGGGAGCAGAACTCAGAGTGTTTGAAGGATTGCTGAGGCTGGCTGGTTCTCTACACCCAGCACAGCCCAGGCTGCCACATCCCTTGACCACAGCCTATAAATCTTGGAGTCCAGAGACCGCTGGCTGTCCTCCCCTCCCCAACCCCAAACTGAAGCCACAAAATGGATTCTAGGGTCTCCTGATCATTTGTGGTAAATGGTATTCAGGGTCAAAAAAGTTCACTGTGACCACATAGGACTTCATCAAGCAAGAATGTGCTCGAAGTAGGACTGGTTTCCTTAATAGATGAGCTCAGTTGCCTAGACTGACGGGCCTATACAGATACCTAAAGTGCAAAGGTCCTCTGACTTGTGATCAAACCCATGACCTGTTTGCTAAGGAGGAGACCCATTCTTTTTCCTATCCAGAAATCCTGTGGTCTTGCAAGCACAGTGATGGGTGCCTGAGTATTGCTGCAGACACAAAATCTACTGAGGCCCTGTCTGGACTTAGTTCCTCTTTTCTTTCTTTCTTTCTTTTTTTTTTTTGGAGTAGGAGTCTCACTCTGTCGCCCAGACTGGAGTGCAGTGGCACGCTCACGGCCACCACAACCTTGACCTGCTGGACTTAGGTGATCCTTCCACCTCAGCCTTCCAAGTAGCTGGAACTACAGGTGTGTGCCACCACACCCAGCTAATTTTTTTTCTTGATTTATTGTAGAGACAAGGTCTCGCTAAGTTGCCCGGGCTGGTTTCGAATCCCTGGGCTCAGGCAATCCTCTCCCCTCAGCCTCCCAAAATTCTGGGATTATAGGTGTGAGCCACCGTGCCGGCTAGCTTCTGTTTTCTAGGGAACTTAGTGTAGGCGATAGAAAAGAAGGATCGACAACTTGAAATGCTGTGATGGAGAGAAGCACAGCTGGACTGGGAAGTCTGAAAGAAGGGACATCTAAGTCTGATCAGGGCATCAGAGAGGCCTTCCTGGAAGACATGGCGTTGAGTTCTGAAGAACTAGCAGAAGTTAGCAGAGGGCAAGGGCCTTTTAGGGAAGAGCAGCCAGCGGTATACATGGTCACAAAACAGTGGCTTACTCTGAGGGAAGTATAAGCAAAGGGCCTGTGTGCTGAGTGGCTGGGGAGGAAGCCCAGAGGCATGCAGGAGGTGGGCACAGGATATGGGACTAAGCCAAAGAGCTTGCACTTTGCCCTGACAGATCTTGGGACCAGGTGCGCAGAGAGGTGAGGCGAACAGGGTTTGTTCCAGAATGATCCCTCTGTCTGGGAGAATGGATGGATAGGACAGCCTGGAGACTGAGGGCCTTAGGAGGCTAATGCAGTAACCTGGGAAAGATGTGAGTAGGGGACAGATTCAAGATCTTATGCAGAGGTCAAGCTAAGGATCAATTAGGTGCTTAGTTAGACATGGAGATGAAGGAGGGGAAGAGTCCAAGACGACATCCAAGTTCTGACTTGTACCCCTGGCCCAGAGAGGCTATGGCATGCCAACAGTCTCACAGCAGTGGTGCCAGGGCGTGGGCTCATTTCTCACACAAGTCCCCATCGCAGCTCTTACTCTGCTTAGTGGGGTAACCTGCCATGAGTCCCCTTAGCACGGGCCCCCCTCCTTATGCCAATTGTCACAGTGTTTTTATGCCTCCAACAGAAGATGTCTTGCAGAGTTTTCCTTGGGTGTCACAGGGTGAAAGTCAGGGTCACTCAGTGGGCGAGGCCAGGGCAGGTCTTTGGACCCCAGGATGCTGATGCACCAAGCAGGAAAGTCTGCTTAGATTACACCTGTGTCTCCTTCCTGGTACTGCTGTAGACAATTGCCGTGTTGTTTTCTTGTGTCTTTGCTGGCCCCGGGAAACTAACCTCAAAATGTTCGCCTTTGTCTTTTCTCTAATGTGTCTAGTAGAGTTGAAAGAGTTGCTGGAGCCCAGCAAGCCCCAACAACTGTACTAGGTCCATGATGTTTGGTTTGCTTCCATGGCAGCTCTCTATGGTGAGGGGAGCGCCGGCTCGGAGTTAGCTGGGCTGGGGTTCCATGTAACAGGAGACACCTGAACCTCACTTTTCCAGTTTCAATGCAAATGTTAACATCTACCTGGCAGAGCTGTTGTAGGGGATGGAGAGAAGCAGCATTAAGTGCCAAATATGAAATAAGTGCTATGTAATCGTAGCTGTTATTATTTTCCTTCCCAGAATAGAAGAAAAGAAAACACAACTCTTGGCTGGACTCGATGGCTCGGCCTGTCATCCCAGCACTTTGGGAGGCCAAGGCGAGTGGATTGCCTGAGCCCGCGGGTTTGAGACCAGCCTGGGCAACATGGTGAAACCTTGTCTCTACAATAAATCAAAAAATTAGCTGGGCGTGGTAGCACAAGCCTGTAGTTCCAGCCACTTGGAAGGCTGCGGTGGAAGGATCGCCAGAGCCCAGCAGGTCAACGCTGGGGTGGTCGTGAGCATGCCACTGTGCTCCCACCTGGACGACAGAGTGAGACCCCCATTCAAAAAAGAAAAGAAAAGACATCTCTTGTTACAGTGTTTTTGGAGCCTGATAGACTAGAAAAACAAATCCTGTGAATGCAATTCTGAATTGTCCAGTGGAGAACTGAGATGAGTTGTTGGGTGGGACTGCTGGTAGGTCTAGTGTCTGGCTCTTAGCTCAGTCTGGACATTTTCTATAACCTGAAGACAGTCTAGGTTTCCCTTGGCTGTGCATAGGGTAAGGATGTGGCTGACACCTACCATGGCTAGGTGTCCTTAGAGCTATAAGGACCCTGAGCTTTCTGACTCTCCCACCTGTGGGTCCATGAACCCAGGTCCAGCTGGGCAACGTCAGGAAGCAACGTGTAGCTGGAACTCGGAGGGATGACCTCTTGATGGGGGAGCCACTTTCTGGAGTCAGAATGCGGAATGCCTGCCTCCTGGGGCCCATGCAGAAGTTTCAGCTGGTGGTTATTGGAGGCTTCTTGGTCCCATGTGACTTCCCACCATATAAAATCCACATTTTGCTTCCTGATCTTCATTCTCCACAAGGGGCCGTTGCTTTCCTCCCCTGTTTGTGTTCTGTTGCTCCTCACCAAGCCCAGTGCCTTACTGCCCTCACAACACAGCCACCATGCTGCCTCCACACCCCTACCCATAACCTGTTCCCCATGCTCATCTTCCAGCTGAAGGAGCAGCCGATGGAGAAAGGTCAGCTCTCTGGCCTGCCTGTGGATGGGAGTGATCTCTCCTCAGGCTGTCATTTGGGCAGCTCCTCCTCCAGTCAGCCATGGTGCTAGGGCCCTGTTCCTACTCCCCACATGTTCCCAGCCTTGTTGCGGAGAGCGGACAAATGGACAGAGGATTGTCAGATAAGCAGTCTTGGTAAAAACAGATTGTGGCATGCTCTTGCCCAGAAATCTGTGAGGGGACCTTGTTAGCCACAGGCTTCCAGGCCTTTTCTGCCTTAGTCTTCTTTCTTTCTTTCTTTTTTTTTTTTTTGGAGTTGGAGTCTCACTCTGTTGCCCAGGCTGGAGTATGCTGCTCATGGCCACTGCAGCCTCGACCTGCTGGGCTTAGCCTAAGCCTTCTTGTAGCCTAAGTAGCTGAAACTACAGGTATGTGCTACCACGTCCAGCTAATTTTTGATTATTTATTTATTTATTTTAGTTGGAGTCTCACTCTGTCGCCCAGGCTGGAGTACAGTGGCACACTCACAGCCACCACAGCCTCGACCTGCTGGACTCAGGCGATCCTTCCACCTCAGCCTTCCAAGTAGCTGGAACTACAGGCACACACCACCACACCAGGCCCACTTTTTTTTTCTTAATTTATTGTAGAGATGAGGACTTGCCAAGTTGCCCAGGCTAGTCTCGAACCTGTGGGTTCAGGCAATCCTCTCACCTGGGGCTCCCAAAGTCCTGGGGTTATAGGTGTAAGCCACTGCACCTATTTTTTTGTTTATTATAGAGATGAGTTCTCTCCAAGTTGCTCAGGCTGGTCTCAAACCCTTGGGCTCGGGCAGTCCCCTTGCCTCCACCTCCCAAAAGTGCTAGTATTACAGGCATAAACCACCAAGCCCAGCTTTAGCCTTGTTTCTGGCCTCAGCTGCCCTCCCCCACTCCAAAACCTAGCCCTGGGCAACAAGACAACAGATGCGTGTCCTGCCTTTTTCCTCTGTTCATGCCATTCCTATCCAGGATGCTGCTGCGCTTCCCTTTTTTCTGCTCATGAACTTCCTGCTCATCCCTCAAGGCCCAGTAGAAATGCCATTTTTTCTTGGAAGCCTCTGCCATCCCTGCCACCTCCCAAAAGCTTAACCTGCCTCTCTGCTTCTATTGCCCTTTGTACAAACTTCTGTGACAATGAG